TTTCCAGAGGGAACACAACGGGTTACAGTTTTCGGGGCCAGAGCCAAGTGGGCTTGAATGCCCTAGCTGTCTCCCAGACAACAGCACCGCTAGCTTGGAGGTTTCCAAAGTCCATTGAACTTACCAGAACCTGGGTACTGTTCGTTCTCAGCAGGTTCAGCCCAGGCCCCCTACACCACCTCTGAGCGCAGATGGCCGCAACTTGGTCTGGGAGTTTGCCACCAAGGGGCAGGACAGGACGGCTGTGTTCCCTCAGTGTCCCGATATGATCCACCCACAAAGGACACCCCTACATGAAATCATGTTCATCAGGTTTCCTTTTGGGGCCAAGGTAGGGGTATTATGATAGCCTTTCCCCCCCACTTTCAATATTTCTGAATGCTTAAATTTTTGCCGTAAGCAGTTAATTATGTTTATGTTATGAAGATATAATAGCCATTTCCATTTCAGAGGGAAAAAATGTTAAATTTCCATCAACTCGTTTTCATTTTAGCCCTTGGATGATTTTACATTTCTGTTTATTCATCTTTTTGAATTGAATGGAATAAAGATGACTCTGGGATTTCACAGCATTACTTACCATTCTCATGTTCTGTCCTGTAATTTCAACCGCTGTCATTGTCTTCACACAAAGGAAACAGCAGACAAGTAGACATCTCCCTTTGGAATGAGCCCAGGCAGTGGTGTTTATATCCCTGCCCGAGTTTGAAAATGAAGAAAGTAGAGTGGTTTCATTCCTGCCAGTTCCACAATACTTTCCAGCACCAAATCAGCTTTCCCACACACCAAGGTAATCTGAAAAGGGAAACTAAACTGAGAGTCAGCTTGAATGGCTGCTTAAAGCATTTCTTTGTATATGCGTTCCTTGCTTTTTTAAAAAAACAGAAGATGCAAATAAGAATAAGTTGTATGTGAATGAAACTCTTCTAACTCAAGAATTTCACACACATTAGAGAAACACTGACAGATTTAAAAAAAAAAAAACAACCTGTATTTCAAATCTTTTTCTAATTAAACTATTTGATCTTGGTCTATGCTGTATTTTCTTAAAATAAAGGTCACCTCTAGTAAACTAGCAGAATAATTTGGGCATCTATTTTTTGACATGTCAATTTCCAGATGCCATTGGGGAAAGAAAAAAAAAAACTAGAATGATCACATTCATTTGTTAAAAAGGTAATCCCACCACGATTCTTCACCAAGGTCTTAAAGACTGAAAATTTATCAGGAATGCTGTCACTTATTCTGGGGCCTGAGGAATCACATCAAGGAATTTTGCTCAGGTTTTAGAAGGCATCTATCTTCCAAAGAAATGGAATCCCATCCTAAGGTGATATCAACCCTCCCTTTCCACAATGGGACAACATGAAATTTCTAAACCTGCACATCCAGAAAAACACGTATGACATGAAGTCCCCCAGGTGTGCTGGAGGACGCTGTAGGGCACAGCACATGGTACAACAGGGGTTGGCCATCTGGCATATGGTCATACTGAGCCACAACATGGTCACCTCAGTGATTCAGCACAGAAGAGTTGGTATCAGGATGTGGATACAGGGGAGAAAAACCTCTAACTGTGATAAAGGATTATGTCACAGGTGTGTCTCTGGAACCTACAATTGGGCAAAGTACTAAAGTAAACAGTTTGTGTCAATGATGACTTTACAATGTCCATTTCCCTTTCAAGAAAGGTGACCAAATGTCCCAGCTGGCCTGGATGGTCCGGGCTGAAAGAAAGTGAGCCAAAACGCCAGAGGTACCGATCAAGCTTTATTAAAGGAAAAGAATCTGCCCGGCTGCGCTCAAAATGGAGAGCAGCCCCAGGCATCGGGGTGGGAGAGCTTATACACTGTAGGACACCAAGGGCTAGCTGATACAATCAAGGAGAGTCATTATGTTAATACAGAAGCTCCACCTGGCTGATACAACCTGAGTGGAAAATTACACCCATGCGGAAGCAAAAGGGTTTCTATTTCGCAGAAGGGAAGGGGGTGGGTGGCAGCCATTTTGTGCTTGGCTTTTCCTAAAATGGCGCTGGTTATGTTCAGAACCTATCACTGGCTTAGGCCAGCTGTCCTAGCATAATTATTAACAGTACCTCCATCCACTCTTAAAAATGTCCTGGTTTGGATGACAAATTACACTGTTGCCTCCCTTCATGTGCAGCTCACCTAGGGCCCTTCACCATCCTAAGATGCCCAAAGAGCTTTCCCAGCAAAGCCCCTTGGTCCAGATTTTCCTACTACTCCCTCCACCCCACTCCTTCAGGGCCAAGGAACCCAAAACATCTTCCTCCTGATTAAGACGCGCGTGTGTGTGTGTGTGTGTGTGTGTGTGTGAATGGCCTTTTGTGGACACCCACCCTAAAGCCGAGCAGTGTGTATGACAGGGTAAATTAAGCCTGTGTCGGTCCCAGCGGCGCAGGGACTTTGAGAGTTCTCCCACACACCAGAGGCAGGCCGGCATTTGGCACTCAGGAGTGGGCTCGCACCCTCATGTCCCCTGCTGTTAAAATCCCATCCTCTCTGCCCCCTAAAAAGGCATTGAGCAGAGCTAGTCTCTTGCAGTTCTCACTGAAGACAGTGCTGCGCTGGCCTCTGACCGTCGTCCTTCTCTTTCACAGACGGAGCCATCCAAAGGCAGATTTTTAGATGAATAAAAACAAACTTTATTCTGATATTGCATGAAAAGTTTTTGAAGTAGGAATTGTTATCTGACAAATAATAGTCCTTACACTTTGAACAGCTAAAAGTTTATTTTCTGTACAATTATATAAATATTTTTATGTCCACAAATGAACATGATATTTATGGTCCTAAAAGTTTAAAAGAATCAATATAATTAGACCCTTTAGATAATGATTAGCCTAGTTAGAAAACAAGAAATACTCCCCAAGCCAGAATAAAGAGAGGACACAATTGGGGGCAGATAGTGGAAAGGGGCTGGGGGTAAGGGAGGGGAGGAAGACTGAAAACAATAAAAACACAGTAATACCTTGTACTTGGATTTCAGAAGATAAAACCCAGCAAAAACTACATAATATGGAAAAATTGAAAAACCATCCAAGGTGAAGGTGAGATGACCTTGTGATCAACTGAATTCAAAGCTGATACAACTAACATTATCACCCTGCAGATTTGTTCTTCCAGGAGCAAGGATCTTTTTCTAGTTCATTCTTATCAAGCAAACTGATAATCAAGGCAGGAGCAGAATTAAGAGAAAAGACTTCAGAGCCAACAAACATGGCATGTATATTGACTACATGATCTTGGGCAAGATACTTAGCCTCTCTGAGCCCGTTCCCTTACCTGTAAAATGTGGACAATAATAGCTATCTTGCTGGTTTGTTTGGAGGATTAAAGATAACCTATAAAAAGTGCTAACAATGCCCCTGGCAAGTAACTGACACTCAATAAATAACTAAAATTATTTTGTGTGTGAGACAAGGGCTTCACCTTAGGATTCAATGTGATTCTACTAGTCTGCACCTGTGTGGTTCTGCCAATCACCACAGACTTCACAGTCTAACACTGGACCCACTGCCCCTCTGGTGTCATACAAAGACAGGTAAAAACAGACCCTCCCCTTGGGGAGGTGTGGTGGCCCCCTTCCTAAGGCGCCCACTCCGCTTGCTGACAGCAGGCTCACAGAGGAGAACTGTGCTCTCCTCTGATTCGGGCAGCACCGCTTCCTTCCAGTTGCACAATGCCAGGGACGCTAGAGCCCTGAATTCTCTATTGGACCCCAGGAGGTGACAGTCACACAGAAGACCCTGTAAACTTAGCTCCTGGGGCCATGAGGGAGGTTTCTGCATGCGGGGCATCTGTTTCCAGCACCACAGCTGCGGCAGGGACACACAAGGGTGCCCCAGGTCATGAGCACCTGGACCCCACAGGAAGCCGGATTTGGACTCGCAGGTCAGGCTCTGGGACCCTCACTCCAGCTAGTCAACAACAGCACTCTATTCTGTGGGAAGAGGAGCCACGACTCCAGGGGGAGTGGCTCTTAGCGAGAAAGAACTCTCCACAACTTGAAGAGGGCCACAGCAAGCTCTGGCCAGGGTGTGAGCACAGAGCAGGCGGAGGCTGGAAGTGCACAGGCGAGAGCAGCTCGAGGATGAGGCACGGGGGCACAGCCCCAGTGTCAAGGACATCAAGCACACAGAAGGGGAGAAAAGGGAGAGACTGGGCCAGCAGAAAACAGAAGGTGCACTTGAGGTAAACTGTGGTCTCAGACACATGATGCAGGCAGCATCGTCAAAGAGCCCAACAGCGAGTTTTGTGAGGGTTCTCTAGAAAGGCCCAGCTAGGCTTTTGGTCCTGAGGAGGTTGTTCCTTACTTCACAAGTAGTCACCCCCAAATACTACAAGCAGAGGTCTGCAGAGAGGGCTGACTTTCCTCTGTCTTCTAGAGTCCAAGCAAGGTTTCCAACAAAGCCCACACCAACAGCATGCTGGGGCCAGGGTGCTCTGCTGGGCACAGGAGGATCCAGGCAGAGCAATCACATCCAGGCTGCTGGGAAAATGGAATAGTTTGGTCAGGGCCCTCGCCTCAGGTCCAGTTGGGTGTGGTTTTAGCACATCCTTTGTAAACAAATTGTATGTGTGTGTGTAGTTACTGTGCATGTGCGCCACTGTATCTTTTTAGTTTTGTTGCTATTCTTGTGTTCTTGAGAGAGAGAGACAGAGAGAGAGAGGAGTTTTAGTGAAGCAGGTGGGTGGGCATCTGCCTCAGGCATCCACCCGGCGCAGCCATGCTTTCCAACCTATGGCTCCAAGGACTTTTCGACCAGTTACCTAGCTCATAGACCTGCATGAAGGGGTCTGGTGACCCAGCCTGGTGTGTGTGGGGTCTGGTGGCCCAGCCCAGCATACGAAGGGTTTATGACCTAGTCTGTGAACGGGCTTGAGGGGTCTGTGAGCCCCAGACCCAGCCCTAGCTCGGCAATTGGCCTAGTCGGTACAGGATTACCGGCAGGTAAAAGAGCTGGACAACTAGCGTGGTCACCTAGCTTTATAATTGGCGTCACAAACAGGATTAAGAGTGCTACAACTGGCAATGTTGACAGGACTAACAGTAGCCACACACAAGCCAATGCCAGCCACAGCTGGATGGGCCATGTGCTGCAGGGAGGGATGACTGGAAAGGTCCAGGGAGTGGAAGTCCCCAGGGCTAGAGGCAAGCGTGATTCCCCTGCTGGTGGTGCAGACAGCAAACAGATGCCGCTTTGCCAGAGGGAGCTGGGCCCCTGCCCTGTCCTGGATCTGGCCCCACCTGGAGCTCTCAGATGTACTGCTCCTCGTCCTTGTCATTCAGGAGCAGAGACCACTTGTCCCCACCATCGTCCATCATGGTACTGTGCCAAGACAGCCTGTCGGACGTCAGGGAGGACAGAGACACCTGGCTGACGTAGCTGACCTGGTCCCACGCCGGGGCCCTGGGGGAGTCTCGCCACCGGTCATCCATGCCGATGTGCACGCTGACCTGAGACGGGCTCAGGGGCTTCATGCGGCCATGGGCCTGCATTTCGTACTTCTCCAGGTCGGGCTTCTTGTAGCTGCAAAGCGAGAACCCAAGAGCATCTGAGCCATTCTGGACACAGGCTTTTTTTTTCAAGTTTTTCAATAATATGCAGTATTAAAACCTCATGGATTTTAAAGGAAAAGAACATCAAACTCCTACAGTTCAAGTAAAAGTTCACCTGATTTAGAAACTTCCTATGCAAATGCCCTGCACATAATAGGCTACCATTAACTTTTGTTAAATGAATGCATGAATAAATAAGTGAACATCTTTTTTTAAAAAAGAAGTGGCAATACACAGGGACCTGGCATCTCTATGACACTCACATAAACAGCCCCTGAGCAGAAGAGCAAGAATAGTCCAGCACATGGTGACTGTTCAGCAGTAGGGTATTTGCTCATGGTGCTGACAAATCACTACATAACACGCACTGGGCTCTCCACTCAGGCTGCTACTTTGGTGTTCGCCTCAGCTGAGTGAATGGGGAACAGTGTGGCCCCAATCTGCATGTGCTCAGAGGGAAAGGACCTCCTGGAAACTGGCACAAACATTCTTGCCCATGGGACTCACCACTTGAGCTGCAGGGAGGAGAGTACCACGGACACAGAGGAGGCTGCCATGGCTGCTGAGCCCATCCATGGCTGTAGCACGATGCCAATGGGCATGAAGACACCTGACAAGGGAGGACACACTTGCACCAACAGCAGCCTGGAGGCAGGAGCACGCAGAGGGCCTCCCCCTCAGCTGCCCCTGCCGCCGGCAGGGCACACAGTCCTCTGAGGTGAGGCTGTGGCAGAAAGCTGGGCAGTGGGGTGCTGGTGAGTGGACCCCAGCCACTTCCACCTGCCATGCCCTGCCTCGAGCCATGCACAGGCTAACATGGGGGCAGGGGAGGGGGGAGAGGGAGAAGCAGGAGGTGGGAAGCCAGCAGTCCTGCAGTCACAGCCCCACAGGGCACAAAACTCTGCTGATGTCACAGTCTTTGTCTACACAGACTATCGGCCTCCGGGGCCTCATAACACCATTTAAAAGAGAAATAAGGGGCCGGCCCATGGCTCACTCAGGAGAGTGCGGTGCTGATAACACCAAGGCCCCGGGTTCAGATCCCATATAGGGATGGCCGGTTCGCTCACTGGCTGAGCGTGGTGCTGACAACACCAAGCCAAGGGTTGAGATCCCCTTACCCGTCATCTTTAAAAAAAAAATTTTTTAAAAAGAGAGAAATAAGAGCCAGGTCCTAGCACAGAGGCAGGAGACTCAGCCAGCTATGGCCAAGTGTTTGTGGCAGAGGCACAAGCACTGGAAGGAATTACTTGAGCCCCTGAGCCGGCTGGGGGCAGGGAGTAAACCTGCCTGACTGCCTGGTCTCCAGAGGCCAAGGTGGACACGCTGATCCCTGTTATGGGAGTCATCACTAACCATTCGGACACAACAGGGGGTCCTGAAGTAGGAAAGTTGTGTTTGAAAATTTCAGGTCCCTTCCGCCCATGGAGGAGTGCTGCCTTGCAGAAGGGTCTGGAACTTGTCCCTGCCTGGTTCCACAGGATTCAAGGGGGTAGGTGAGAGGGGAGTTACAAAGCAGAAACAATCCATTTCTTTCCATCATCATTAGTGTGAGTCAGAGAGAAACCTGGGCAGGATTAATTTTTCAGGTAAGGTTCTGTCACACCAATCATTGTGCCCAGCGTGCTGTTCGTGCCCATAACTCTTAATAATGACTATTTTTCAGGCTATATGTCTTAATAAATTGCTCAGAAAATAGGGCCACAGTAAATAAATGGCAAAGCATCTTGACCAACTCTTTAGAAAGGACCAGAGTGAATGATGGTTTACGGTCCTCTAAGCAGTTTCTCATTTACCTTTAGAGACGTACAAAGCAGGGAACATAACAAAACCAGCCTTTCTAAAACACTTCCAGAAGGCCAGCCAGTGGGGTGGGCTTCTCACTAAGGTCAGCAGGAACCTAGCAGACAGAAGCTTCTCTAGCCCAGCTGGGGTCAAAAGTAAGAAGGCAGGTGAGAGCCACCCCTACCTGCTGCAATGGGTATCCCAATCAGGTTATAAATCAGCGCCAGGACCAGATTGACTCGTATTCTACGGACAGTCCTCTTGGACAGGTGAATGCTGGCCACCACATCGAGTAAATCATTCTGCAGGAGAGGAACACGCAGTGAGTAAGGGGTCTGTTCCACGGCCCTCATTGCTCCCATGACATCGACACAGCCAAGCTCACTCTGATGAGGACGACGTCAGCCGCCTCGATGGCAACGTCCGTCCCGGTCCCAATGGCAATGCCCACATCAGCCTGGGCCAGGGCCGGAGAGTCGTTAACTCCATCTCCTACCATGGCGACTTTCTTCCCTTTGTTCTGAAGCTCCTGGACCTTGGCCACCTTATGAGAAGGGAGAACCTCTGCAAAGACTTTGTTGATGCCAACCTAAAAGGGAAGGAAAACAACACCCAGTGTTGGCCAAAGATATTAAATGGCAGCAGAAACCTGACAGTCATCCTTGTCCCCAATGCCCCCCTCCCCCACCCGAGGTCCAATAAGTTATGTCAACCAGGTCCTGCAGATTTGAGGTCACAGGGCGAATTCTTTCCCTGCTCCCATCCCAACTTCCTGCACAGTTCAGGCCCCAACCTTTCATGGATTAGCAAACAGTCCCCTTGCTGGTCTCCTTGTCCATATCTAAGCCTCTCAACTCTCTTGTCCCTATGCTGTCCCAGTGGTCTTTCCAAAACAACAATCCTGGAGCTCTCCTGCTTCAAGTACTCCAATGGACCCTGCCTGCCCCCCCAACCCCGGGACAATGTCTAAACACTCAGTGGTCTGGCTTCTGCCTCATGGCCCACAGCTGGCGCCACCCTAGACTGCACCATTTGGCTCCCTGGGGCATCTCAAAATCACTGTGTAACTTTGTACCATCAGGTAATGCTCACACCGCTTGCTCTGTCTTGGGAAGGTTTAGTTGTCCTTTCCCTATTCCTTTCCCCCTTCTCCATCTGACCAACTCCTGACTCAAGCATCCAAACCCCACTCCCCGCCTCAGCAAGCCATCCCCAGACCCTGCCAGGCTAGAGGGTAAGTTACTCCTTGGTGGCTCCCACAGTGTCCCATGCACATTGCAGACCCATGTTTGATCACTGGTCCACCCTCCCTGCAGGACTGTGAGCCCTTTGAGGACCGAGCCCCTCTTCACTCCTCTCTGCAGCCCCAGTGCCTGGCACTGTGCCTGTCTGTCACATTTGTGGTGCTTAATAAGTGCTTACTGAATGGATGGACAAGTTTTAACAAGGAAAAGGTGGGCAGATACTCAAAAAATCCATCACTAGCAAAGAAGGCCACGTAAAACAGAGGTACTGCTGCTTCCCGCATAAGCCAATTAATTTTCAAAAGCATACAGCTTTCCACCACTTGGAGGGGGGGGTTTTACAATTTTCAGAAATTCACGCTGGAGCCAGTACAGTGTGTGGAGCCAGGCAGCCATCCAATGGTGCTGTCCCCACAGCCCAAACTCAGAACAAGGGTCCCTGGACAACTGCTAACATCAAGTAACTTAGCTGTTCTCATTCATGTCTCCAGATGAGTTGGCAAAACATTCCCTTAACATAAAGGTTGGGCCGGCCCGGTGGCGCACTGCTATAGTGCGCTGCTTGGGAAGCGTGGTGGCGCTCCCGCCGAGGGTTCGGATCCCACATACAGACCGGCCGCTCACTGGCTGAGCGAGGTGCGGGGGCAACGCCGAGGGTTGCGATCCCGTTGCCGGTCCCGGTCCCGTACGGGCGCGACACTGAGGGTTGCGATCCGTTGCCGGCCACGAAAAAAGACAAAAAGGAAAAAAAAAACATAAAGGTTAAAATATTTAATTTTAAGCCTCAAGCTGTGAACTTTTTTTTCCCCATCATGAAGAGTGGGAACCAGTTAGAGAATACTGGAATTCCTTTTTCCAGGGACGCATGTGAGGCATGCATCAACTACATGCCACCAGGCCCTGGGGACTCTGAGGCAGCACTGGCACAGCGTGCTCGCCCAGGATGCTGCACAACTCAGAGCAGAATGCAGCACCTGCAGAGGAAAGTACCTGGTGAGTGAGAGAGTAGAGGCAAGGCTGAGTGGTGCTTATTTTTTTGTTTGTTTCTATGTGCTTAACATAGCCTGTAATTTTAAAAAAGACCTCCCCAGCCCCAGGCCTTACCTGGGTGGCAATGGCCCTTGCTGTCTTCCGATTGTCCCCCGTGATCAGAGCCACGTCCACACCCATGCTTTTCAGCGTGTGCACGGCCAGGGCAGCCTCCTGCTTGACAGCATCTGCGATGGCAATCATCCCACAGAGCACACCTGGAGCAAACCACCCATGCGTCAGCAACGCGGTCTAAGGGTCACGACTTGGAATGGTTTTCATCATATCATAGTATACAAAATAAATAAAGCACCAAATTACACAACATAATATAGTTTTGACTTTGCTTTTTAAAAATTACACACATATATAGATATGCACAAAAGTCCGGAAGAAATACCAAAATGTTCACAGTGGCTCCCTAGGGGCAGGATTAGGAGTAATTATGAGGATTATGAGTGATTTCATTTTTTCCTTTAGAGTTCTCTGAATTTTCCAGATTTTCTGCAAGGAGCATGTATTACTTTGCCATGTGCCTAGCTCATAATAAGAACTCAATACATGTTAGCTATTACAATATGAAAAATGTAACATATTAACAAATATCTTAAAGTGATGAACATTCAAATGAGAAAAATCAATCCTTCCTTCTTGTCTTTTCCTACTTTCTGTACAACTACAACTGTGTAGAATTTTTTCTGAGTGAATCTCAGAGGGTAGGAAGGGTGTGAACAGGAACATGGTAGGAGATGCATGAGAGGGCCTGACCCTTTAATCTGAAGAGCTGAGGAGACTGCAGGTTTACAAGGACTTACTTAAGAAAAGGGAAAAAAGAGAGAATGAAAGAAGAGGACATATTTGGCTGGAGCATTCAAAATACAGTGTCATAAATTACTTCCTATGTGCATATAGTTTTACTAACATTAACAAAATAAGAAGACTGAAGCCAGAGCACAGCTGGTTCTAGAGTCAAGATGGAGATGGTGAGGAAGAGAGGGCCTAGGGACTTGGAATGCAGGGAAAAGATGGCAAGACATCTTCTGGAAACAGACCCTAAAGTAACGGAGAGAAAGATTTATTTAAAAAAAGGGACCATTTTTGCCTGACATTCCTGGGAAACTGCATTTTTGAGAGTGCATAAGGAAGGAACAAGCAAGGAGATACCGTCAATGGCCACCAGGATGGCTGTCTGTCCTTTCATCTCGTGATCAGTCATAGCGTCACTGACGTCGCTGGAGATGGTTAAGCCGTTACGCTTCATCCATTCGCGGTTTCCAATCAGCACAGAGAAGGTCTGGGGGGCTATATCTACTCAAAAGAGATTGCGATTATTCCTAAACAGACCAATTTCACTATGAACTAAAAATCACGGAATCCTTAACAGCAAAATAGCGATTTAATCTTTTTGAAAAGCTATAACTTAGTAAGCGTCTCTTATAACATCATCCTTAAAGGACTGGAAAGAAAGTACAATTAATGTACAGAACATGTGGGTATGAATTAAAATGGGGCATTAATAGTACAGTTGTCCCCTCTTATCTGCAGGGGACATGTTCCAAGACTCTGTGCCTGAAACAAATAGTACCAAACCCTACATATATGATGTTTTTCTTGATCTGATAATCGAGCCACTACTAACGATCTAACTGTTATAAACATTAAATATTACATCATATTCTTATTTGCCGTTAGAGGTATTTGCTGATTCTGTTTCTATAGGAAATAGAAGCAGTTAGTTATTTGCTCAGCACCCAAAGCAAGTGACTAGATTCACTTCTGCTTGCTACAGATGACCTGAGGTATAAGTCAACAAATAATCAGGTAAGTCTATTCTACACGTCTGAAAACCATACCTCCTGAAAGGCCAGGTGAGCCTTCCACCTGTCACCTGTGTGCACGAACTGAGACATCACTGCACAGACCGCTCCCTGGATGCTCTAACGGAAAGGTCATTCTGAGGTTTTAAATCGCTAGAAAGTGGTAGATACCTCCTAACAACAAAATCCAAATCAAGATTTAACTACCAACATGCTTAAGGAAAAACACTAGACTGGGTGTTGAGTGTTTTCCACCCTCTTACACTGATGGTTGGTAAGCAATCCTCAGAAGGAGAAAGGCCACTGTTCAAAAGCACCTGCCACTCACTCCCAGTGGCGTCCCTTCCTGAGGGTGCAGACCATTTCCACTGCCTTCCCTGACTTTTTCTGCCAGCTCTATAAATACTACACGTCCCATCAGAGTTCTACCACATGTGAGGGAAACAAGAAGAACAAAAATAGAGTTCCCATCTGTCTACTTTGTAGCTTTTAGGAAGAAAGATCAATCTGAGATAAGAAACAGAAGAATCAAAATTATGAATCAGCTAAGCAATGCTCTATGAATTTAAATCATATGCTACTTTTGCCTGCCATAAGCATCAACATTTAGATGCATCAAAGAACACAAGAGAGAAGCCGCAGGCCTTCCTGGTGGAAGCAGGTGTAGGGCGGCCCAGCCACGGGCTACCTTTCTCCCAACAGGCAGGCATGGCATGGTGCTCTCTGTGGTTTGGCACGCCTCCACTTTCACCCAGTGGGGCCCAGCCACCGAAAGATCCAGCAGCAGAGACAAAGGCCAGGGATACCTTTTTCTGCAGGAGGGCTGCCAACCCCATTCACATGAGTGGCCCATTCACCCAGTCGGTGCTCACTGTGGGCCAAGAGGCCATCCACGCTGCTGACTTTGCACCCGATTCCACAGCCTGGCACCGCCTGGAAGTCTGTGCAGTACCCCAAGGTTTCTGTTCCAAGTTCCTGTGAAAGCAGGGATGGGGGCAAAGTAGAACAGGGATTCAGGGTGAAGGTGGTAAGAACAGCACGAAGTAGGAGTTGAGAGAGAAAGGAGGCAGGGGAATTGAAGGGAACAGTGAGGAGATCGCCTATTAATGCAGCAATTATTCTTCTCCCATCCGATACAGATATTACAGTTATTAAATTGAACAAGATGAAACAGTCTAAACTCTCCCACGAGGTGGATGCCCCATGATAGTGGACAAGCTGCAGACTAGAAAGGAAAAGGCAACTCACATTAAACACCTCAAATTTAAAAGGGGTGCAGGTGCCAATGAGAGGAAGATATTTCTATGTTGCAAATGATTACATAAAAACAACAGAAGAAGTGAGTGGTGACCAAGCTGTTTCGAGGCTACCAAGAGATAACAACCCATGTCCCAGGCCTGGAGGAGGAGGGCGCAAGGCAGGGAAAGCAGCGCACGGAGCGGCCGGGAGGATGGCTGAGCGCCAGCATGGCTCCTCCCGAAAGGTCACGGGTGAGACAGGGAAGAGCTGTCTGACCCTACATGAGGGACCAAACACCAAATGAGGTTTCTGGAAGATTCCCTGTCCAGAAAGAGTTGTCAACGGTTTTCCAAGGTATCCATATATCATCTTTCTACGTTCATGGGTTTTGCTCAGGCCATTTAAAAATTGTCAGGGCAATATTCTGGCACGTTCTACTGCCTCTCCATTCAGACTGAAAACAGAAAACTAAATAGAACCTTTCCTGTGGAGAGAAGGAAGGAGTGCCATGTTTCTCCATCAGCCTGCCGAGAACCACCTGGGCACTCTGGTCCCCTCTGCTGGTTCCCCTCCATTCCACATGCTCCCAGTGGAGGGGTTTCTCCCTCCCTCACCCCAGAACCCCCACTACATGTTTGTGTCCCCTTGTACTAAGCTCTTCAACGGACTGAGCTTCTAGACCGCCTGTCCTCCCCCAGAGTACAAGCTCCCGGAGGAGAGAGTTCACATCTCACTCATTTCGTTGTCTTGAGCCCAGGGCCAGACAGACACTTGGCAAAGGACTGTGACACTGAACTGCTTTTGTGATAACCTGGAACTGTGACAAGGGCCTACTGTGAGCCCCATCTCCACCTGCTCCAGAGGGGCCTGTTAAGTGCTTTTCCAGACCCCACTCAGGAAGGCCTCCATGAGGGCAGCTAGGACAGAGGTTTGGGGGGCGGGGGAGAGTTACGCCAAGGTTGACATACCTCTTTACAGTACCTGGTGACCGCTACACCCAAGGGGTGCTCGCTGCTGGCTTCTGCAGTTCCCACCACAGCCAGAACCTTCCTGAGGGGCAGTGCAGCCACGTCCACAAGCAGGAGGAACCGCATGACCCTGGGGGCACCATGGGTAATGGTGCCAGTTTTGTCAAACATCACAGTCTTTATCTGCCAAAAACAACCACATCTCAGCGACCACAACACAGATGGAAGGGGCTTTCCTAGTCCACATAATCTTGAGGCAGAACTTCACCCAACCTACCTCGGGCAGGTAACAACACTCCTTTACAACTTCTTAACATAATCCTCTGTAGTCAATCCTGGGGCTCAACAGCTTCTACCGCAATGAAATTGTTTCCCTATCTGCCAAGTCAAAAACGTCCACACTGTGGCTTAACCTCACCCAGCTAGAGCCAGAAACTCTCCCTTGGCTGTCCATGTGATGGTGTGGCACCATCTCCAGGACAGTGACACCGCACATAGGTTCAGGAGTCAGGACCCTGAGAGTCCTCCCATCTGCCTGTCCACTGCTGTCCACTGAGTCCAACCACTGTTTTCTCTTGCCTGCCTCAGTGCAAGAGCCTGTTGAGAATGAAGTCCTCACACTCCAAGTTCAAGAAAGGAAGGGACTGTTCTGTGGCCATAAGTAACCACCAGAGCCAGTTTTAACCCATCCCACTTGGACAACAGAAGCTCTGACAACTAGCGGCAGCCACACTCCTGTACCTGCACTTCCATGGCCAGAGGCCAGCTGAGTCCTGAGCCCCGCTTCTGAAAGCCCACCAACCCCTGACCTGCACACATCCCCAAACCCTACTTGTCAGCAGGTTGCCCACAAGCATGTTTTCCCCCTTATTAGCAAACAACAGGTTCAGCCTTTTGTTTCTGATGCTAAGTGGTCACCTCTGCCTTCAACACTATTAACTTATCTTCCTCCATTGATTCTTGCCTCGTTCAGTCCATCCTTCTCTCAGCAGTCAGAATAATCTTCCCAACATGTAGTCTAGTCACATCACATAGGTTGCTATGGTTTCAGTGCGTCCCCCTGCTATGGATTGAATTGTGTCCCCCAAAGTTCCATGTAGTTAGAAACTTAATCCCCATTGTGACCGTGTTAAGAGGGTGGGAAATTCTATTATGGCAAATGAAAGGTAGGGCCTTGAAGAGGTGATTAGATTGCGAGGACCATGCCACAGTGATTGGATTGATCCATTCCTGGAGCAATAAGTTGAAGGTTTTACAGGTGTGGTTCTGATGGCTTTATAAGGAGATCTAGGAACAAGTTAGCTCTCTCTGCTCTTGCCATTCTCACCATGTTATACCTTGCATCACTGTAGACTCACACGAGGAGATGGCCCTCACCAGATGTATCCCCTTGACTTTGGACTTCCCAGCCTCCAAAATTATAATAAATAAATACTGTTTCTTTACAAATTACCCAGTTTCAGGTATTTTGTTATAAGGAACAGAAATGGACTAATACGCCCCCAAAAGTTCATGTATTGGAACTTTAATTCCTCAATGCAGCAGTGCTGGAAAGTGGGGCCTAATGGGATGTGTTTGGGTCACCGGGGCTCCGCCCTCATGATGGGATTAATGCAGTTCTCATTTGACTGGGTTAGCTCTCGTGAGAGCGTACGCAAAGGGGTTGACCAGCTCTGTCTCCCCTCTTTCCCCATGCCTCGTCTGTCTTTCCACCATGCCCTGAAGCAGCCCAAGGCCCTCTGGCCCCTCCCTCAACAGCCTCATCTACAGTCTCTTTCTCTCAAAGACTTTCTTCCAGTTCCTCATTTATTTATTTAGCAAATAACTTTTGAGTGCTTTCAATGTGCCAGGTACAGGGCTGGTTGCTGGGGATACAATGGTGAGGATAAAGTTCGTCCCTGATCTTTGGAACCTGTGCTAGGGCCACATAGACTGCCCAGGCCTTTCCCTCCTGCTGCTCCCACCGCAGGAACATTCTTCCTATCCTCCCTTGTCTTTCTAACTCTCGCTCAACTGTTAGATCTCAAATTAACCTTTGTAATCCTTTCTCCAACCACTTGCATCACCCCCCACCCCGAGTCCAGGTCAGGCCGTGGTTAAAGTGCTCTCAGGGCATCTCAAACTCTCTCCTAACACTCAGCATTTGTTGTTTACTTATACAACACATGTCTTTCCTGCTACATTATGAGCTCCTTGGTAGCTGGGAACCTTAACCATCGCCAGAGCCCGGCACAGAGCTCACACACAGTAGGTGCTCGACAAATACTGAATAAATAAATAGAAGCATGGAAGATCAGGGGTCGGTATGTTGGGCAAAAAGAAGATTCCTCATAAAAACCGTTGCTCCTATTCCATTCCCCAAGGTCACAGGGATCCCACCACTAATTTCACAGCCATGGAGTTGGGACTGTCCTCCTACAGCCTCACTGCCTGGGTGTGAATCCTGGCTCTGCCACTTATTAGCTGCAGGCCTTTGGGCAAGTTACCTAACTTCCTTCTGCTGCAGTTTCCTCATCTGTAAAATGGGAATGATAAGCACCTACTGCAAAAAGTTGTTAATGAGATTAACTCAATACTTACAAAGCACCGAATTATATGACTACTACTGCTGTTGCTGCTATTCTCAGTTAGTCCTGGTTTTCTATTTCATTCAAATAACATTGCTGCCCTCAGGTCGCTCTCAGGTTTCTCTCAATATGAAGTAGTAAACAGGTAACAATTTTCATCGTCAAGACTCTCTTAACAAGGAGGGTCGGGGAGCTTGGTCCAGGACTGACCTTGTGCGCCATCTCCAGGGGCTTACCCCCCTTGATGAGGATGCCGTTCTGGGCGGCCACCCCAGTGCCCACCATGACTGCCGTGGGCGTGGCCAGCCCCAAGGAGCAGGGGCAGGCGATGCACAGCACCGTGATGGATGTCTGGAATGCAAACCGGAGGACCACTTCTGTCTGGGAGATGTGCTTGTTGGGGTTCTGAAAAGAGGAGAGACAGAGGCAGGCTGAGAGGTCAGTGAGGGGTCTCACAGGATTCTCATCCATAAGCACATTTCTGTGGGCAGTGAGGCCTCAGCCAGCATGATAAGCTGGGGTTTAGGAACACAATTGTGTTCTGCACTGCCGTGGCATCAGAGTTCACTTTACTGCTCCACATCCCAGCTTTCCAGCTAGATCCTACAGGCTTCCCCCGAAAGAAGCATTACAGGAGCAGAGAGTCATATAAGAACCTTTTACAGGGGAGAGAGTGCAGACAGTGGAGTCAGACCACGCAGATCCATAACCTGGCTCTGACGCTGACTTCACCTCTCTGCCTCAGCTTCCTCATATACAAAATGGAGATAACACCCAGCTCTCAGGCTGTTGTAAGGATTAAATGAGGCAATACACATATAAACATATAAATATACATAGTATAACACCTGGTATAGGAGAAACATCTAAGAAATTGTAATTAGTACATTATCATTTTTAACCATCACTATGAAAGCTTCAAAAATAATGGGACTCCGAGGAGTATCCTAGGGTGATAATCATACAAGGGGGAAAAGACAGTAGGATATTTATTAGTGTTTTGTTTTTTTTTTTGTAATGGCAAAAATCTAGACACAATAGGGGGATTGGTTAATTAAACTGTGGGTATGGTGTATATAATGGAATATTATGCCATTGTTGGAATGATGATATATATCGACATTTATTGATATGGAAAGATATCAGTAACACTGCAGAATTAAAACAACAAATACAAAAAGACATTTGCTGTGATTTTATTAGTGCAAAATTCTCTGCCTATATCCATATATAGCCTTTCAACAATACAGGAAAGAAGTCCACCAAAGAGCAAAAAAGTTACTTTTAGAGATGATGTGGAGCCATCTTTACTTTCTTCTCCATATTTTTCACTATTACTTTCTTTATAAACCTAAAACAAACAAAATACGGGTCCGACTTTCCAGATACCTGGTAGCACATACTGACATTATTATTTGCATTCTGAGATACTGAATTTTCTTGGTTTATTTTTCAAAATGGCTGGTGGCTATAGAGTATAATAAAGAGGAGCTATATTTACTTAATTACAGCAAAAAGCACATTTCCTAAATCAAGGAAACAGACCACAATCTCTAGCTTCCATCTATACTTTATTCTTTGATTTTGAAAGGTGGATTCTAAAATTATTAAAGGGTCATTTAATTTACATAGAAACAGTTGTATTTAGGTAGAGGGATGTAAGGTTTAAGATATAATGTTATAAATAAGATATGAGAGATAAATATGATATGATTTTTTTTTTTTAAACCTAATAATTCTTGTCAAAATAACACGTGACATTCCAAAGGGTTGGGTAGACTTCTAGAAGTTAACATGAACACTTCCCTACAAATGATCTTTGTACAGCACAGATGACAGTATCTTAAAGGAACATGCAGTACCTCATTTGCCAGCATCCTCCCTGATATTGCAGATAAAAACAAAAGAAGCCAAAGTAAGATGGATAGGCATGGAACAGCAGAAAGCCACATATTCCAACTTGTTGAGGACTGAGTCTTCCCATAGCCACATGCCAATGCCCTGCTCTCCCAGAAAAGCAGAAATTTTAGGCAGTCATGTGCCATGAACAGCCACTGGCAAATTCTACGAATACATTCATAAGTTACTATTAAAAGCACTGAAGTCTACTTAGATGTCAGAAAGTACTTAATTTTGGACATTTTTCAATTTAAGATAGAAAATGACATCTTAGTAAATGACATGCATCCTGAGAATATCAGAAATTTTTTTAAGAGGAAAAAAATATATCCATTCCATATTTGTCATTCTTATTCTATGGTGCTTAAGTAAAATAATCATCAGGCTGGGCCAGGTACAAGGTGAAGTAAAACACTGCTCCACTCACTGGGCAGTTACCCAATACTGCTCTAAGTGGGTCATCAGCTTTTTACATACATTGGGGTTTCTCAACCTGGGCATTATTGATATTTGGGGCCAGATAATTCTCTACTGGGGGGGCCTATTCTGTGCCTTGTGGGATGTTTAGCAGCATTTTGGCCTCTACGCACTAGATGCAAGTAGTATCTCCCCAAGTTATGAAAACCAAAAATGTCTTCAGACATTGCCAAAAGTCCCTGGAGGGGGGACATCTCCCAATTGAGAATCACTGATGCATACAAAGGTTGAGTATCCCTTATACTTGCATTATACTTACCAGTTTGGCATTCCTACTCTAAAAATCCAAAGTCCAATATTCTCCAATGAGCATTTCCTTTGAGCATCACGTTGATACATAAGAAGTTTCAAATTTTGGAGTATTTCAGATTTCAGATTTTTGGATAATAGGGATACTCAACCTATGGTTCTTATTTCTCAAGCAGATAAGTTTTGTGAGGGATGGACTGTATTTTCCATTTTTTTCTTTTTTTTTTTAAGTTTGATAAAACCATATTTCCTAGGATAGTGCTCTTCATCCACTTTTAACTCAGAAACATAAATTTCACTGCCTCACTTAAAATGTTTAATAAATATCTGGTTATTAAACTATTAGCATTGTTCGGGAAGCTGGGAGGCTAAAGGTATTTGTAGATACAGAGAGCAAAAAATACATTTTTCTTAAAATCTGTTAATATTATCATACCATCAAAATTCTGAAGTGACCTTTTCTATAATGTATGTGCCTCATAACCTCAAAACTAACCAGTATGGTTTACTTTAAATGCTGTTGTAAATGCTGTAAGCATTACAACTGAAAGCTAAGTAGTGTCTGTGAAAATCATCTAAGTAGAAAGCAAAGGCCGGGGCCGGCCCGGTGGCGCACTGCTACAGTGCGCCGCTTGGGAGTGCGGCGGCGCTCCCGCCGAGGGTTCGGATCCCACATACAGACCGGCCCCCCCCTCGCCGGGCGG